CACTGCCTGCTGTTGCCGATCCTGCTACTGCTCTGCCTGTCCCTGGGGTCCCTGTCTCAACGCCCGCCGTCGTTGACCCTGTTGCACCTGCTGTGGCTGTTGCTTCGTCGCCGATGGCGGAGTCCGCCACCACTGGCGGCCAGGCCCCTATTGTGACGCAGGCGGTGGCCGTCCAGACGGCTGTCCAGGTAGCTCCCGATCCTGCTCCGCCTGTCGACGCCTTTCCTGTTCAACGTCCGCCGTCTCCGGGCCGCCGACAGTCTCGGCCCCATTCCCCTGCGCCTCGTGACGAGCGCGCGGCGTCGCGGCGGCGCCACGATTCCCCTCGGCGCCGTGGTTCTCAAGCGAAATGGCCCGCGTCTCACGGCGGTCGTGGTGGGCGGTGGGGAGGGCGCGGTCGCGGTGGCGGCTGGGCATATGAACAGCCCGTGACGATGGCGGATCTTCAGCGCGTCGTATCTGCTGCGGTGCGTGAGGAGCGGAACGGGCAGGCGAGCCTGGGCAACTTGCCGCATGTCGCTCCAACCCCCGTGCCTCCTCCTCCTGTTGCGCTTCCTGTTCCTGCCGTTCCGCCTCCGCTGGCAGCTGCTCCGCCTCCCCCTGCTCCCTCTGCGTATGCTGTCGCTCCGGCGGGTCGTGTGGAACCCCCGCGGGTTCCTGCTGTTGGTGACGCCCTGTCATTTCCGGCGTGGGCGGGACCTCCTCGCATGGTTGAGGTCCCTGAGGTGTCGCTTGGGCAGCTGTGGCGCCTCGCTGAGGGCTTGCGGGCCGTGCACCTGATCCAGGCGTACGCTCATGCTGCTCTCGCTCGTGGTGGCTCGCTGGATGGTCGCCAGCGGGACAAGTGTCTTGATGCTGCTGACCGGCTTGCGGAGCTGCTGGCGCCCGTGCTGGCTGCGCCCGCGATGGGCGTAATTGCGGGTGTTGGGCAGCTTGGTACAGCTGTCCGTGGGCTGCGCCGGATTTTGCGCGCAGGCTCTGGAGCCGATGTGATTGGCGCAAGCACGGCGGCGGTGCGGGAGCTGCACCGCTCTCTGACTGGGCTCCTGGCGGTTCTTGACGCGGATCAGTTCTAGAGCCTGCCTCCTCCTGCTCCATTGTTGTTTGCGTAGCTTTTAGGCAGTAAGATTTGCCATTGCTTGTGTGCTCCTGAATATACCGACTTGTTTTTGTGGACCCTTGCCACCCCAAATGCGCGGCCGAAGGCCGCGGCGCGAGCCGCTCGGTTAGGAGAGATAAGTGAAGAAGGAACTGAATAATGAGGCTCTATGACCACTTCCTAGGGCCTTTATACTAGGCTGGAGAGGGCTGGAGAGGCTAAGGACCAGGCCTCCAGGTCTCTCTCTCTCTCTCTCTCTCTCTCTCTCTCTCTCTCTCTCTCTCTCTCTCTCTCTCTCTCTCCTCTCTCTCTCTCTCGCTCTCTCTCAGCCGCTCGGTTAGGAGAGCAAAGTGAAGAAGGAACTGAATAATGAGGCTCTAGGACCACTTCCTAGGGCCTTTATACTAGGCTGGAGAGGGCTGGAGAGGCTAAGGTCCAGGCCTCTAGGTCTCTCTCTCTCTCTCTCTCTCTCTCTCTCTCTCTCTCTCTCTCTCCTCTCTCTCTCTCTCTCTCTCTCTCTCTCTCTCTCTCTCTCTCTCTCTCTCTCTCTCTAATGGTCCGTATATTGATATGGCCGAAAGGTACACACATACAAGTTCATAAGCATGCAAGTCACAGCCCATCCATCTAGAGTTCTACGAGTGGCTCTAAAACAGCAAAGGCCCCTAGGTGTAGTTCATGAGCAGCCCACCGGGGGGTTCTCAGCTGCCGCCGCCTCACCCAGCTTCATGAGCAGCCCCACCGACTGTGCTCTCTGGAGTGCAACCGACCACCGCTGCCTGAACTGATGCAGAAACTTAGCGGCATAATAGGAGTTAGAATCGGCGTTGAAGTGGCGCCGAGCCGCCGTGTCCGCCAGGAGTTTCAGGAAGACGCGGACCTCTGCACATGGGCAGCCATAGGTCTCCACCGCCAACGGAAAGAAGCCAACCGTCTCCGGTCTATTCGCATAGTGCTGAATCTTTTTGTCTGCCTGCTCTCTGGCCGCCCATCCCCTGCCTTTCTGCGCCTCCGGGTCCCGCGTGCTGATAGGGTCTGTCACAGTAACATCACACACCCAAACCGCCCCGCTGCTCCTGTCGGTCATGGTGAAGTCGGCCGTCTGCTCCTCGATGGGACAATGGGCGGCCGACTCACTGTGGTCTATGAATCCCGCATCCTGAGCCATGCTTATGCATGCATCGCGGAGCTCGTTGTGGGTGTTGATGCAATGCTTGCCGGTGCCGCAGCGTAGGAGGTGGTTTGGGAGGCGGGGGTCAGTGATCGCAGTGTGGTCCGCACAGTCACAGTTTTTGGGAGTGGAGAAGGGCAAGCCAAGCCGGAATCTGACGGCGTTGGCGAAGTGGACCAGTCCAATGCGCCGGGTTGGGGCTATTGGTATCGCCGTCAACCAATCCCCAGTGCCGTATCCCGTCAAAGAAAACATCCGCTGCGTGTGGCCTGCAAGCGGATTCAGCGGCATCTTCCTCGTCTCCTGAACCTGCACCGCATAGCGACTGCCGTGGACTTGGAGGGCGAGGGCATGCTGCAGCTTCACATCCGTCCGTTCCAGTCATTCCCGTTCCAGCAGCTCTCGCGCGTCAGAAGGCAGGGCGGTCTCACACTCAGCGAGCCAGGAGTGGAGTGGCGTGCTCTCGTCACTCGGCAAGAGCATATGGCCGTGTGCGCGAGACAGGGTAGAGTCCGGGGCTAGAGCGAGCGTGGAGAAGAACAGCGCCGCCTGTGTGAAACTTGCGACGAAACTATAGACTCCCTCGATGAGAGGGTCTGTGATCCCCACTCCCCCAAGTGAAGGAGGAAGGGACGCCTGAGCCCACACACGCGACTGTTCTGCTCTATCTGCCGGAGCTCGAATGTTGCACGAGGTAAGCAACACCGTCAAGAGGTCACGGCCCAACTGGGTCCACGTGTCCCGGGAGATGAGATTGAGTGGGGTCGTCCGAGTGAGGTACGCCACGCGCCGGGAGATGCAGTGCGTGATCTGCAGCGAACCGACTTGCGGATCGGCCCGTTCGATGAGTGGCAAAGGTTGCGCCATCTCCCCCAGTTGCTTAGCCAAGAAAGCGGATGCCCCGTCTGCTGCCCCAATAAAACTTCCCAACAGCCGAACGCCGTCCTTGCAGAACGGGACCCCTGGCGGCAGATCAGTCGAATCACACGAGTTTCCTCTCCATGCTGTGCACTTCTGCGGGTTGTGTTTCAGGCCCAGTAATTCCAGCTTTGAGGTGAAGTAGTTGAAGGCAGCTACAGTTGCACGTTGTTCCCCCACGAAGGTCACGTCGTCCGCATACGCCAAACAAAGCACATCAGGGTGTGCTGCTGCAGTGTCGCGAAGTGTGGGGTGAATCCCCGCCGCGAAAAGGAGTGGGCCCAGTGGATCGCCCTGGTGAACGCCCCGTTCACTTCGCAGGGGTTCGCTCGCAAAGTTTGTATCCAGGTGCAGCTGCGACGGGTTACCGTAGGTCAGTCTAACCAGCGGTAGCAGCGGCGACAGGCTGGGTTCCTATAACGCAGTTGCGATAGCCTGTCGCGAAATGCTGTTGAAAGCATTCGCAATGTCGGTTTGCAGTACCAGGCTGTTCGGGTGGCCGTCCACGTACGTTCGGGCGGCGTGAATTATCGCTTCCGCCCCACCTGGCACCGCCACCCCGTACTATAGGGGAAGGAAGTATTCACGTGCAGCTTTGCCCATGACCGAGACCGCAGCCTTGGCAGCCAGCCGCGTCAGGCATTCGCCGATTGCTATTGGTCGGGCCCCTCCCCCAGGATTGGCCAGGGCTATGAGTCGGGATGCTGTGAGCAGGTCCGCCACCGAGGCTGGGAGACCAGAATTGTGTTAACCAGGGCGTGCAGATGGGTGCTGACGGATGCATTGGTTATTGTCGCATCGCGCAGGTGCTCAAATGTTGTACCCGAAGGTCCGGCCCCGACACCGTTCTCGCATCGCCCAAGGAGCTTCGCAAATTCCGTGTGGGAAATGCCCAGTGGTCGGGTGTCGGCTGCTTGCCAAGTCAGCAGCCCATCCCCTGCTGGAGGATCCTTCAGACGAAGTTCGTCCAGGATTTCTGGACTCGGTGTGCAGACGGGTGTTGACTCGAGAGCCAGCATGGCTCGGCGCAGGCTGCCACGTTTTGCCAACCCCTCGGCTCGGCTCAGTACACCTGTCACGTCGGGTCGGTGGCGTGGGGGCGGAGGGGTTTTGACCGCGTTTACTGCGTCTTGGTAGAGCTGCGTCCACTCGCCACGCTGGAAAGCCCGAAGCCGGGCCTTGATTTGTGGCCAGTTTGGGTGCTTTGGCGAAGCTTGGTGAAGGGTCAAACGCGGAAGGAAAAGAAGCAGCCGCCAACCCGCTTCGGAATCAGGGTTTCGCGAGAGATGGTGTAGCGGGGTCAGGAGTGCCAGCGAAAATAACTGGCACAAGTTTGGCGGTAATAGTCTTGACAGTGGCGGTTGGCGACTGTCGCAGAGGGCGGAAATATCCCAATTCGCGATGTCAGCGAACATGTCGCTCCTCTCTGCCAGCTCCTCTGGCAAAAATTAGCGGAGGAGTTGCGGGGTCGCGCCTGACACAGGGTGGAATGGTGCGGTCCGATGTGTTCGAGCGCGGCTCGATCTCGCTGATTGCTGCCGAGTTGGATTCCCACCCGTTCGATCAGCATCCAATGGCCCTGCTTGCCTCTCCGTTTTTGCTGTGGGTAAATTGGCTGCACCAGGTCTGCTCCCCTCTGTTCCTACCCTCGTTGCCTCTGCTCCATCCCCATCTTAATTTTCACTTTCTGGCTCCACTTCCGCGATATAAGAGGGGTCATTTCTCTCCCCATCCTCATTAGCAGCTACTAGAGCTATTAAAGCCCTTCGTCCCGCAGCCTGATACCCATTCTCCGGCCCTCCGCCTGCTCCGCTAACCGCCTGTCTCCTTTCTCCCCGTGCTCCTCGACCCCGCGATGGTGATTGCTGGTCCTCCCGAGCCGTCGCCAGAGCGCATTGCCGCCTGGTCGGCAGTGGTCGCCAAGCCTCAGTCTGAGCCCGGAAAGGCGACCACGGCGACGAAGCCCCCTGTGCCTCCGGCTCCGAAGCCCTCGACAACATCCGCTGAATAGCCTCCTCGCCTCGAACCCGCGGCTCCCCTTGCTGCGGCCGCGCCTGGTTTGTCGGCAACCACTGCCGCGCAGTCTGCGGCCCCCGCTGCTGTTGAGCCGTCCGCCCCGGCTGCGCCAACTGCTCCCCAGGCTCCCCCTGTAGTCCTGACAACGTCTGTCGCTGAACTCCCGGCGCTCGCTCCCGTTGGACCACCTGCTGCCGGCCTCGAGCCGCTGACTTCTGCACCTGCCTCGTCCCCGCAGGCGGCATCCGCCACCACTGGCGGCCCGGCACAGTTGGTTGTGCCCCCAGTAGCGGACCCGGCTGCCCCCGTTGCGCCGCCTGCAGCTCAGCAGGCGCAGCCGGCGCAGCAGTCTCGTCCACCCTCACCGGACCGCCGCCTATCTCGCCCCCATTCTCCAGCACCTCATCAGGATCGTGAGTCCTCGCGGCGCCAGCGCAATTCTCCTCGGCGCTATCAGCAGTCGGGTCAGTGGCAAGCGAATCGTGGCGGTCGTGGTGGCTGGTGGGGTCCTCGCGGTCGCGGGGGTGGTGGGGCGTTCGATCCGCCTGTGAGGATGGCGGATCTGCAACGAGCGGTAACGACCGCGATGCGTGAGGAGAGGGCCGCTCTGACCCAAGGCAGCTCGCACACCGCCGCCGCCTATCCCGCTCGTCGTCAGGCGGCGCTTTTTGCTGCACCAGTCCCTTCTCATGTTCTGGCTCCATCGGCTCCCGCTGTTGCTGCATCTGCTCCTGTTCCTGGGTCCCGGCTGCTTCTGCCGCCCGTCCCGCCCGTGGCGGGAGTAGAATTTGTGGCAGCGGGAGGTGGAGCGGTGAGGGCGGGTGGCTCGGCTCTTCTTGCCGTCGAGGAGCCATTTCAGTTCCTTGCTCAGGCACTGCAACCCCCTCAGGCCCGTGTTCCAGAGGCGACTCTCGCCCAGCTCTTCCGCCTCGCGGAGAGCTTTCACGCATTGCTGCTGATACAGGTTCTTGCCCACTCGTCTCTCCCTGTGGCCCCCCCTGAGACATTCCCGGATCGTCATCGCGAGACCTGTCTGGACGAAGGCGATCAGCTCGTAGTGCTGCTGGCGCCCGTGCTAGCTGCGCCCGCCGAGGGAGGCGTTGCGGCTGCAGGGCAGCTTGATGAAGCTGTCCGCGGTCTGCGGCGCCATTTGCGTGCAGGTTCTGGAGCCGCCGCGATCGGCACAAGCACGCTTGTGGTCTGGGAGCTTTGGCGGACTCTGACGGATGTTCTTCACGCCCTTGGAGCTCACCGCATGTATGCGCGGGCTCCTCGTGCTCCATGTTTGTTTTGCTTGGCTAGGCTGCAGTAGGAGATGCCATGTTTGTAATGCCTTTGGTTATGAACCGCTGTGTGTGCCGTATCTTGCCGTTCCCTCACGCGGCCGGCGCGAGCGAAAAACTCCGGCCCACAAATGAATAATGAGCAGAGGAAGCAAGAGCGGCCTCTTAAGTACCTAGGAGAACGAGGGCAGAGGCTAATGGCAGAGGGCAGAGGCTAACCCTCTCTCTCTCAAGCGGTCCTTGTATTGATATAATAGGTGAGTACAAACATGCAAGGCAGCAGATAAACAAGCAACACTAGAGACTAAAAACAACCCAGCAGCAAGCTAAGAACATCCTACAACCCCCACCCAACCCCCCCCCCAAGGCTCCTAAGGGAGCTCAACAGTAGGCTCGAGCACTGCAAAACAGTCCCCCAGGGAAATTTCCTCCCCACGGGCCCCGACAAGAGGGTTCTGGGCTTCTGCAGCCAAGTTGCATTTGGCCATATAGCTTACGGCCTGCCCTCGCTGAAGGGCGACCGACCACCGCTGGCGAAATTGATTGAGTAGTTTTGCCGCCTGGTAGGTGGAAGGGTCAGCGTTGAAGAGCTTGCACGCAGCTGTGTGAGCCAATAGTGTCAAACATTATATGTTTATATTGTGTAGGCTATAGTGGGTTTAGCCTTAGGGGGTACAACTTTGTTTGGGTTTCCTACTTGTATCCCCCTCCTACCTAGTTTCACCCATTCCCGTTCTATTATAGATTCTAACATGGTATCACGAGCCTAGGTTGCTACCTAGGACCGCTTTCTACTACGGGCCCACTATTCCGCTAGAAGCGCCCTCATGCGCCCTACCTTACGTGCGCCCTCGTGCGCCTTTCTCTGCTCGTGCGCCTTCGTGCGCCCTCGTGCGCCCTCGTGCGCCCGCGTGCGCCCTCGTGCGCCTTTCTCTGCTCGTGCGCCCTCGCGCGCCCCGCCCTTCGGTCTGCCCGAGTGCCGTCCTGTAGCCCTCGCGCTGCCTCCTACAAGCTAGTACGGCCCTCGAGCCGCCCCTGCAGGTCCGTCAGACCCCCGAGCCGCCTCTGCAGACCCATCAGGCCCCCCCCGAGCCGCCTCTGCAGGCCCGTCAGGCCCGAGAGCCGCCCCTGCAGACCCGTCAGGCCCGCGCGCAGCCTCTGCCCGACCGCGCGCCGCCCCTGCAGGCTCTCGCCGCCCGCCGCGTCGCCCTGCCCGCGGCGTCGCCGCCTGCCCGCGGCGTAGCCATCTGCCCGCGACGTCGCCACCTGCCCGCCGCGTCGCCCTGCCCGCGGCGTCGTCACCTACCCGCAGCATAGCCCCTGCCCGCGGCGTCGTCGCCTGCCCGCGGCGTCGCCACCTGTCCGCGGCGTTGCCACCTGCCCGCGGCGTCGCCACCCGCCCGCCGCGTCGCCCTGCCCGCGGCGTCGTCACCTGCTCGCCGCGTCGCCCTGCCCGCGGCGTCGCCACCTGCCCGCCGCGTCGCCCTGCTCGCGGCGTCGTCACCTGCTCGCCGCGTCGCCCTGCCCGCGGCGTCGCCATCTGCCCGCCGCGTCGCCCTACCCGCGGCGTCGTCACCTGCCCGCGGCGTCACCCCTGCTCGCCGCGTCGCCCTGACCTAATCCGCGCCTGGCCTCTGGAGCAGCCGCCCCTGCAGCAGCCGCCCCTGGCTCCTGGAGCAGCAGCCCCTGCAGCAGCCGCCCCTGGCCACTGGAGCAGCCGGCCACTGGAGCAGCCGCCACTACAGGAGCCGCCCCTCGCCCCTGGAGCAGCCGCCCCTGCAGCAGCCGCCCCTGGCCCCCGGAGCAGCCGCCGCTGCAGCAGCCGCCCCTGGCCCCTGGAGCAGCCACCACTGCAGCAGCCGCCCCTGGCCCCTGGGGCAGCTGCCGTCGCGGCCCGGCCCTGCCCTGCAGCAGCTGCCGCGGAGCTCCCTGCTGCGGCCCGGCCCCGCCCTGCAGTTGTAGCGGCCCTGCTGTCGCCACCGTCTTGCGCCTACCGCGCCGACCACTAGTGAGCATTGCCCTGCCCGCACTGCTACCGCTGCTACTGCTGCTACTGCCTTTACTACTCCTACTGCTACTGCTCCTGCTTTTACTGCTGTTACTGCCGCTACTGCTGCTACTGCTGCTCCTGGCATGGCCAGATGCAACTCCAGAGCCGTGCGCATGAGTCCCTCACGCCCCAGCAGCTTCGTGAGTGGTACGCTAGTTGGGGCTGTCGGGGTGGCCGTAGTGGTAGTCGCTCTGGAGTGGGTCGTTCGGGAGCTTCTGGTAGTGGACAGGTGCAGCTGCCGTGTCCTCTTTCGCCCCAGCAGCTTTGTGAGTGGTATGCTAGTTGGGGCTGTTGGGGTGGCCGTAGTGGAAGTCGCTCTGGAGTGGGTCGTTCGGGAGCTTCTGGTAGTGGACAGGTGCAGCTGCCGTGTCCTCTTTCGCCCCTGCAGCTCCGTGAGTGGTACGCTCAGAGTAGAGGGTCACTGAGTACTGCTCGCTGCCCGTATGTCATTCGCACAAGTGTCCGGACTGGTCAGCCTTGCGGGACCCGTGGCCACACAGAGTCCCACTGCTTCGCCCGTCTGGGCGACGCTTGGCGTACAGAGTTTGGCGACGCCGCTGAGCTCCCCTCTTGGGTGGAGCTGCTTAGGCAGAGGGTAGATATCTTTGCTCTTGACTCTGATGCTATCCTCACTGCCATGTATGCATTTTCTAATAGTACTGAGAGTGCCTGTCCCCTGTGTGTACCGCCTGACCCCGGTATCCAGTCTGCTGCTCTAGGTACTGGTGTGGCTGCCGCTCTAGGTGCTAGTGCGTCTACTGCCCTAGGTCCTCGTGAGGCTGCTACTCTAGGTGCTGGTGAGTCTGCTGCCCCAGGTACTCGTGCGTTTGCACCTGCTGGTACTGCGTCTACTGCGGCACTGCACACCTTCACACTGGACTCCGGTGCTTCCCGCTGTTTCTTTCGTGACCGCACGGCCCTTGAGCAGCTTGCTCGGCCGGTTGCAGTCTCCCTCGCTGACCCCTCTGGGGGTCCGGTCCTTGTGACCTCCTCCACTGTCCTCCCTTTCCTGCGGTCCCGTCGGGCACACTGTCAGGTCTCTACCTCCCCTCGTTCTCTACGAACTTGGTGGCGGGTAGTGCGCTTCAGGACGGGGGTGTTCACCAGTTCACCCCTGCCTACGAGCGCGTGACACACTGCACGTGCGCTCGGACGGGTCGCCACCTGGCTACCTTCACTCGGCAGCCGGGGTCGGATCTGTACACACTGACCACTGAGTCCCCTCAGGTAGCTGCGTCTGCGTCTGCGTCAGGTCAGCTGTCGGCCCCCTGCTCGTGTCGCTCTCTAGCGCACGAGACCGTCCTCTGGCACCACCGACTTGGTCACCCGTCCGTGAAGCGCCTTCGTGCCATGCACAAACGGTTCCTTGTCTCTGGTCTTCCCAGGGTTCTCCCTCCCCTCCCACCCTCGCCTGCTCCTCCCTGTCTTCCCTGTGTCGAGGGGCGGCAGCGCGCCGCTCCTCACTCCTCCTCGTTTCCCCCGACGACTTCTCCCTTGCAGACGCTCCACATGGACGTGTGGGGCCCAGCCCGCGTCCGTGGTCAGGGTCAGGAGAGGTACTTCCTGATAGTTGTTGACGACTACTCGCGCTACACCACGGTCTTCCCCTTGCGCACCAAGGGTGAGGTCCCTGATGTTTTGATCCCTTGGATCAGCGCTTCTCGTCTCCAGCTCAGCGAGCGTTTCCACTCGGACTTTCCTATCCTGCGCTTGCACTCTGACAGAGGTGGTGAGTTCTCCTCCGACCTCTTGGCAGCCTACTGTGCGGAGCACGGCATCCGCCAGTCGTTCACGCTTCCGGCCTCTCCACAGCAGAATGGGGTTGCTGAGCGCCGCATTGGCTTGGTCATGGAGGTCGCTCGTACCTCCTTGATCCATGCGGCTGCCCCCCCCTTTCTGTGGCCGTTTGCAGTCCGATACGCTGCGCATCAGCTCAACCTCTGGCCCCGTGTCTCCGTTCCGGAGACTTCGCCGACACTGCGTTGGACGGGAGAGGTTGGCGATGCGTCACGCTTTCGGGTCTGGGGATCTCGAGCCTTTGTTCGCGATACGTCCGCGGACAAGCTCTCCTCCCGCGCTGTTCCTTGTGTCTTCCTTGGCTTTGTCCCGGACGCGTCTGGTTGGCAGTTTTACCACCCCACCTCGCGCCGTGTCCTGCCTTCTCAGGACGTCACTTTCGACGAGTCCGTCCCCTACTACCGCCTCTTCCCCTACCGCACTGCCCCGCTCCCCCCCCCGCCTCTCTTCCTCGCGCCAGGTGCTGCTGTGGTAGACCCCCTCCCCCCTCAGGGTGCCGCTCCCTCAGGTGTGTCCCAGGTAGACCCGGTTGAGCCTGTCGAGGTAGCTGTCGACTCTCGTCCTGCTAGGGGTG